AAGATATTTATAGCCAACTGAAAATGTTTATTATTGGTTATCAGAAGGATATAGGTCTTTCCACTTGGGATTATTTAACTTGCTCCATCCAGAAATACCACATCCCATTTTACTATTAGGACAACTTTTACAAATAATTTTAAGAGATGAACGAAATAGCTTGACTATTACCAATAGTTATCAATACTACAATTTCTACTAAATCCCATTTTTCTAAATTGTTACCTAAAAACAGTGTTTTATATATATGTACATATTAAATAAAAATATTTACTGTTTCTTGAATGACATATATGGGCAGTGTGCTTACCACTGTGAATTAAAGTAAGACTTTTGCCATTCCACTTTAGCTCATGCAGATACTCCCTACTTTTCTTCCTCTGATCCCTCAGCTTCCTATCTACTACACTCCAGTACACAAGATTCTTAACACTCTAGTTAAGAATCTAACGAGGTATAGCTGCTAGCTGTCAGTTGCTCAGGAAATATACCACTTCCTGAACCTGTGGTACTTGATGGTGCTGGTTGTAAGAATTTAATTTCGCCGCAGTTACATTATTTTTGCATAAGGAATCTCACAAATGTAAATCCTACTTAAGCAACACTGCTTTATTACAATTCAGAATACCAAGTACACAAACTACTTTTATAGCCAAGTTCTCAATAGTTGCCAAACATGAAGGCCAAGAAGAATTCACAAGTAATTAGAGCAAAAATCTTTGGTCCCTCCCTTGTTGGCATCAAGCAAGTTTACTTACTGTTAATTAGCCTCTCTTCTGCCAAGTTAAATCAATCAACTAATTTTGCTAAGAGCTCAACACTATCCTAGGTGCTCTGAGAACAGAGATTTAGTGACAGAAATGGCCCATTAAATACTAAGAACACAAGCCAAAGTAAACAGTGTTTCATGTGGCAAGTGTTTAAGCACTGAGAAGAGTATAATTAACAGAACTAAAATGGTTATGGAAGAGTTCATGAAGGTGACAATTGACCTGTGATTTAAAGATGAGTGGAAAGTTGTCAGGTAGAAGAATAAGGTAGGTAGAAAAGAAACAAGAGAGATATTTCAGATGAGAGGTACAACATAAACCGTAAAAGTAAAAATTAGAGTAACTAATGTGTGGAGAGGGAGAACATTAATGTATTATCATTTAATAATTATATTTAAAACAATAATACTACTTTTCATGATTTGGGTCTTTAAAAAGTCCTTCAAATATTTTCTGTAAGTTATAACTGTACTTGTTACCTTCAGAATGGCCCTATCCTTTTTCTGTGAGATGCTTATGACCAATCAGAAACAAGATAGAACAAAAGCACAGATAATAAAATGTCTCATTTGGCAAATCAACTTTCACTAGAACACAACAATCTTGCAGAATCTAAAAAAGGAGATACACTAAGTGGTCTTGTCATCTATATATTTTATGACTGATATACAAAAATCTACTGATTTACAAATCAAATGAAATTAGGCTCACCACTCCAATTCCCAATTTGCCTTCAGGTAGTTCTGAAGGTATCCAGATCATGACAATATTACTCAGTTCACATCAAGGGCTTTATAATATTTTCTTCCAGTGGACACAAGTTTTAAAATTTTTGATTAACAAGAAGCACTTATTAAAAAGTGGTTTCACTGCATGTTAATCATACCTTAATAAAGTAGTTTAAGTTAGGTTAAAATAAAGTGGTTTTACTATTTTTCCAATGTTTTATTAATTGAAGATACATATAAAAGTTTTTGATCAACATAACATAAATAACAAGTGTCCACAAACTGAAGGGATATAAATCCAAGCAAAATCAAAGAAACTTAATGTTTAAACTGTGCAGCATTATATGGAAATATGTGCTTTCTGCAGACTTTTTGAAGACCTCTATTACAAATTTCTAGAACACCTAAATGCTTAATGACCTAGGCTGGAAACCCCAGGTAATCAGTTCATCAGGTTGTTCATTCCATCTGACTCAAGTCAAACTATCTGACACCTGTGCTTGAAGACCTCTATTACAAATTTCTAGAACACCTAAATGCTTAATGACCTAGGCTGGAAACCACAGGTAATCAGTTCATCAGGTTGTTCATTCCATCTGACTCAAGTCAAACTATCTGACACCTGTGTTCCCCTCAACTCCTTGTCACTTTCACTTCAGCTGACATTGAGTGGTCCTAACTGTTCCTCTACTTGCCAGTAGTTCTCCAGATGTGTTTTCCTATTAGAAAGGATAAATCTTTTTTTTATTCTTTCTTTCTTTTTAATCTAGTTGTAAAAATGTTGATTCACATTTACCTTTACATTTCTAGAGAAAGTCTACCCAGAAACTTTGTTACAAACCTGATAACCATTAAACTATCCCCAAACTGCTTCAAACCCTAAATGCTACTGTAAATGTAGGGCTCTCAGATACCAGATTGAACCAATCAAAAAGGCAACAGCTAAACTCTGGATGCCATCCTACCTCCTCTGATTATCGCCCAAATTTTCAAATGATGTCTGAGTGATTTCAAAAGGTTACTGCTAAGCTAAGATCTCCCTTTGCATGTTTACATTCAAACAGCAATTTGTAAAGAAGTCTCTTAAAATCAGTTTATCTACATCTTATCTGAGTGGTTCATTATTCTCAAACATCACAGGCAACAGTCAAGCCATGGAAACACAATGCTTCGTATTAACAGAATTTAAAATCATCAGTTGGGGCTGGAGATACTTTTTTTGCATAATAAGTTTTTATTCCGGGATTTGCTACAATTTGATTTAACCTATAATGAAAACGGTTTAATTACAGCTCTAGATTCAGTATTTATAACAAATAGTTGGGGAAAAAAAAAAAAAAGTTGGTGAGTAATGGGCAAAAAAAAAAAAAAAAAGGAATCACCATAAATTAAGAAAAAATTAAAAGAAAATAAAATTTAAAAAGAAAAAAATTAAATTAAAATAAAATAAAATAAAAATTAGAAAATTAAAAGTCTACAAGGGGCATTTATTGTCAGACAAGCAAAGGAGTAAATTATAACATAAAGCAATAAATTTACTGGCATTTCTACTGTATAAAAGAAAATTTGTAAATATAATTAAATTCCAAGATACACTTTCTTGCTGTTTCTGTATTGCAGAACTCCCAGTCAATTACTGATTATTCGTTTATCACCTTAGCAGGGTTTTAAGGAAATCATCTGAGTCAAACCCTGAAGCAGGTTTTTATTAACCAAAGAGATCCTGGGCCATCTCAGAAAGAAAACAGATATGCAGAACTCCCCTAACGGATTTAGGCAAAAAGAAATCTTGTCATTCAAAGAACCAACTCCTCTACCACACCTGTAACTAAGGTTCCCTCTCCCCACTTAGATTAGCTTGTCTCTGCACATTAAGTTTAACTGCGTTAAGGACAAGGCTTTGGCTCAAAATAAGCTGCATGTATTAGGCTAATTTCTATTTAATTTTTTCCCCCAGTAGCATGAATAACCAAGAGTGTCCTTTGGTTAAAATAGTGTCAATTCAAAGTGTATCAAAAAAGATTAAATTAAAAGGCAAAAACACATACTCATATTCGAAATGTTTTCTCTGAAAGATAAAATTAATAGGCAAAAGAAAAAAAATCTTTTGAAATATAATTAAAATTTGGAATATCTTGTAAAAAGTTCAAAGTTGAAGGACAGGGAAAGAGATAGAAACCTATATATAGAAATTATTTCTTCTTCCTGCTCCCCAAATAAACATAAAATTATTTCCTCTGATGTATTAAAAAACAAT